CACATAAAATAAAAAATTTATATCTTTATGTTTGAAGCCTGAAATGTGGCAAAAGGTTGAAAAGTTCAAGGGGGCCGAATACTTTCGCAAGGCACTGTACTGTAGGATATTAAAATGTTGCAAGGTGGGACAGTTTAGCATTGCTGCCTTGCAGTGCTGGAGCCTTGTGTTCAATTCAGGGCCTGGGGTGCTATCTGTGTATGTTTTCCCTGTGTTTATGTGGATTTCCTCTCAGTGTTTCAATTTCCTGCATACTTTAAAAACATACTGGTAGGTTAATTGGCTTTTGGGATAGATTCAAAGTTGGACAGGTGAGAACTTAACACTCCCCTCCCCAACTAATGAATCTGGGTCTAAGTACAAGTACATCTTATTAATCAAATTACTATGATTAATTTAATTTTGATTTCCACATGGTCACAAAGATAGTACAGTATATGGTTTGCAAATATTATGGTATGAAAATAGTATTCTTTGCAAAACAATCCTTTGATTTGTTTTTCCCCCTTATATTGTGCAGATATCCCTGTGTCAAAAGGACATTTATTGTGTGTGCGATATGTGCTATAATTTACTACCTGTAAAAAATGCAGAGCTAGATTTACAGTACAGTTTACAGCTTTGTTCTTCTTTGATGCTCAAAACTGATTGCAACTATAACAAAGTAAATCTGAATTAATCCCTAAGACCAATAAAGTAGATGTGTGAGTACGGACAAAGAAATATTGTACAATATGACTCTGTTTTTATTTCAAGAGGTATGGTTTGGACAGGAGCTTTATATTTTGCATGCACCTATTGATCTGCTGTCTGTCTTTTACCCAGTCACTCTGTGACAGTTACGGCTCTGCGCGGGGTCGTGCCCCCAGGTGTGGGGGCCGGAATGGGCAGCGGGGGTCACGACCCAGCGCAGAGCCGTAACTGTCACAGAGTGACTGGGTAAAAGACAGACAGCAGATCAATAGGTGCATGTAAAATATAAAGCTCCTGTCCAAACCATACCTCTTGAAATAAAAACAGAGTCTCCAGTGTAACGCAACAGGGCACCAACCACGTGAGCTAAAGGGGACCTCCCTCAGCCCAGGCAGCTGAGGACCCTGATACGCGCAGTGAGGGTGCTGATGTCACCACACTAGCTCTGCTAAAACTCCATATTACCTTGGGGACCTGTTTTAGTCTGTCAACTTACAAATGTCTACACTTTTATACAGACAAGTAAATGTCATGCAAACAGTCAAAATTATACAATATACTCCATTCCAATACTATCACTCAGTTAACTCTATCCATGAAACATTGTCTAATGCCCATGTAATATGTACTGTATGGTACAGTATATACCACGTAAACTCTAGCCAAAGAATAGTTTTGTCAAAAGTATGGCCTTTCATGTTGTGAAACAAGCAAGCTTTTATAACAAAACACCATTATTTTGAATTGCAGCTAACAAACGCTTTACTTGACTGTGAAAATTAAACTGGTTCATACATTTGCTTGAAAAAAAGTTATAAAAATTATATTAAATAACATAAGAATGCTTCCCAGCGGGTAGGTTTACAACCATTTGCTGCAACATAATCATTGCATTATGGATAAAAAATATGATTTAGCAGATTTCAGAAAGGCGGTATGGATGTCTGTCACATCTGTTATGAGACACTAAATGAAGAAACTTCTAGTCAACTAGAATCATGCTTGGGGTAACAAGGTGTCGTAAACATAGGCTTTTTGTGGCTGTTAAAGAGATGTACATTGGGTAAAGGAAGAATAAATAAAGTCAATCTAAAACATTTACATGGTTAATTGTGCCAATTGATTTTAAAGTTTTTCAAACCTTCAAGTAGTCTGCTGTGTAGAACAATGGTTTGGGCTCTAGGTTTGTAACCGAAAGGATGAGTGTTTAGCCCTGCGTGGTGCACTGCTGATGTACAGTATCTTTGAGCAAACGTACTTCAAGCAGATGGTCCTGGTTAAATACCCCTGTTGTATAAATGGGTACCAGTTAATCATGGCAAGCAAACTGTTGTTGTTATTTGACATAACTGTTTAAAGCTTTATAATTATTAAAGGCCAGTCATGCATATCTTTTGAACCTAGAGCAATGAGCAAATAGATTGAGATCACACAAACTGATTTGAATTTTAGTGAGAAATACTATCTGGAAAAAAGTGTGAATAATGACAAAAAAGAAAGCATCATATAAGTTGTTTTATCAGCACATTAATAATAAGCATATAGTTGTTGGCCCTTACCTTAAAAAAATACCTGTTGCGAAATGACCTTTCCTTCATTACTAGGATATGTCTAATAAGTAATATACTGTAGCTGATGTAGTATTTGGATGGATTGACTAGAATCAAACTAAAACAAAAGGTTATTCCCTCAATGATTCAAATTCATAAGTGTATTACACAGGGCCTTTTTCATAAAATAAATACTGTAGGAGTATTCTTATTATTTAACTTGTAATAAAAACGCAATATATTTTGAAAGCAGATACATTCGACACAGATGTTTGTTAACCTGTAAATAGTCCCTTAGGTTATATTTCACTGTTAGCTTTGACATTTTTAGTTCACTATTTATTAGTAGAATAAATTGTTATACTTATGGGATAATAATGCTTTTCAGATCATTTGCTATCAATTTTACCAAATTGGGCTCAAGGGAAGATTCTAGAAAAGATTCCCTGTTCATTTTTAGAAGAGCAAGATATGTCTAAATAACTAATCACTGTTTACTTAACCATTCTTCCTAGTGTGCTTGAAAACAAACACTGTTTTTAACATCTTCATAAATATTTTCTCATGAATGCAGATTCATTTTTCCAAACAGTATTTCCTAGTTTAAATCATGTCATTTCATTCAGTAAGATTAACTTTGCAATAAATAAAAATAAAAACGGCATTAAATTGATTTGTAGGTTGGCAGTTCAAGACATGCAATAGACATAAAAATTAATAATTTGTTATATTCAGTCTTTCACAAATTCAACTGTACAACAATCCAACTACCAAGTAGTGGCCAAAAAAATTGAAACATCAATGGAAAGCAACATAGAGTCTAGGTGCAGTATCTCTTCTGCATAATGCCGTGTGCTGCTATTCTTCCATTAGAAGCTCAATCAACCCATGCCTGGCTGTTGGAGGTGAAAAACACTATCCTGTAAGTACTTGATTAGGATAGATCTGGTTACTGGCAAGGCCATGACATACAGTATGGGTACCAGCAGTATCAAGCTCATCAAACCACTGGGCAACCACACATGCACTGTGGATGAGGGCATTGTTATCCTGTAGGTTCCCCAGTCAATTGATCTGCAGTTGCTCACCTGATCTGCCTTGCATTTAGAATTAATGCAAGGATAACATAATCCTGGAGTATGTGGTTCTTCCAAATGTTGCATTGTGATGATGATGTCTTTACTTCACATTTACAAGCTGACATCAACTTAGACATTGTTGCTCATGAACCAGGTTGAGCTGCCAAACATACTGTACCCCAATAATTACCCCTGTTTCAAAGTTTTTTTGTTGCTTAAAAAAGTAAACACACAAAACAATAATATTTATTATATTAATAATTACAACCTTTAACCAAAACATTTTAACATTAAATATACTGTATATTACATATACACTGGTCCATAAATCATTGCTTACGAAAGCATCTTTCCCATACAAAAGACATGTCCTTTCAAAACAAGCTATTTTGCTTCAATGATTCAAAACATTAACAACAAAAACCAAGGTCACCATCTATCTGCTCGTTGCCTCTTCCTGATCAGTACTTTCAAATTCTCTCCTCACGTAGCCTTTCTTTATATCTATTGTTACCTCTAACATTCTGTTTATTGAAAGGAGGGTGTTCTCTTTCACTGGAATTCACTTTCTTTGCCACAATGCCTTATTGCATGCTGTCAGTACCATCCATGATTTGACGAACTGCTCCTCAGCCAGTTCTCTCAAATGCGCTCCAAACAGTAACATTTTCATTGACAAATGCCTGCCTTTAAGGAAAAACCCCAAAAATGTCTCTGCTGTCTTTCAGGATTTTTTGGCTACTGCACATACCAGGAACAGGTGAAGAACTGTTTTTCTCTATAACCCTCCACACGGCATCTAGGGCGCTTCTCCATTCATTTTCTGTATATTACAGCTCCAGCTCCAGAATGGGAGAATTTCACACACCACAAAGACCACATCACTATGTTGACTCAGCAAACCAAAATAGTTAAAACGCTTCCATACTATACTAGGCATATTACTGCAACCCTTTTAATTGAGAGACATACAATCTCTTTTCATCTGAAAACAGGTGGCATTTCCTTTTTTTTTAATCCACATCTGTTTGCTTGCCTGCAAATTTCCCATCACTTGTTACCATTTTAACATTTCTCTCCTTATCTTACTTATCCTTAAGTAAAGTTTATTTGCAAATAATATATGAGAATTTCTAAATAAGTGTGGTTTCTCCACACAAGTAACAGTACATGTTCTATAGTTAAGGTCAGTTCTCTAGAAACAGAATGTTTTCTGAATACTTACTTATTCCGATGGCTGTGGCAAGTTTCACTGCAATTTCCGGTACTGCGCATGGCATGAATAGGGGTTCCAGAATGTGCTGCCCAAAAGCCAAGGCTATAACAGCTATAGCTGAAGGGCTAGAGACAAAATTTCAATTAATATGTAATATAGTTACTTATAGCTTCTTAGAACAAAGTTAACTAGCCTGGTGCACATATTTTTTACATTTTATTTTGCTATATACATATACTGCAGAAGAGAAAAGGCTTCTGTGAAGATCTCTCACAGCTTATTAAGAAGAAATACTGAGCAGAAGTACCTTTACTATATAATATTTTTCCAACTCATTTTACAGCACAGTGCAATGTAAATTTCCTTCAACATGCAGTCTATAGCACCCACATTTTATTATAGGAGCTCTTTTATCTCTTATGTTGGTCCAGGCCCTATTTTTCATTAATTTTGTTTTATCAGCTGGTTGTCGCTTTCCACAAGATTTGTATTCTTGCCTGCTGCTCTCTTCGTCACGAATGTCACCCTCTTTCCTATCTCTGTTATAATAATAGCTTACACTTATATAGCGCTTTTATGGACACTCCTCTCAAAGCGCTTTAGAGGTAATGGGGACTCCCCTCCACCACCACCAATGTGCAGCATCCATCTGGATGATGCAACAGCAGCCATAGTGCACCAGAACACTCACCTCACACCAGCTATCAGTGGGGAGGAGAGCAGAATAATGAAGTCAATTCATAGATGGGGATTATTAGGAGGCCATGATTGGTAAGGGCCAATGGGAAATTTGGACAGGACGCCAGGGTTACACCCTTACTCTTTTCGAGAAACACCCTGGGATTTTTAATAACCACAGAGAGTCAGGACCTTGGTTTTACGTCTCATCCGAAGGACGGCACCTGTTTACAGTATATTGTCCCATCACTGTACTGGGGCCTTAGGACCCACATGGACTGCAGGGTGACCACCCCCTTCTGGCCCCACTAACACCTCTTCCAGCAGAAACCTTAGTTTTTCCCAGGAGGTCCCCAATCCAGGTACTGACCAGGCTCACACCTGCTTAGTTTTAGTGGGTTGCCAGTTGTGAGTTGCAGAATGATATGGCTGCTGGCCGTAATGTCTTGTCTCTTATCATACAGTACCCCTTCTCATCTACTCTCCTCAGGTTTCCTGGCCAACTGACTGAATCTGTTTCTTGTTTTCTTATTTCATGTTCCTGCTCATTTTTCTTTGTTTTAAACCCTTTTTTAGATTAAGTTACAGTATCTGAACATAAGAATGGTTACAATCGAATAGAAGCTTATCTAGCACATTTAGTAGATAATAGCTAATTGGTCCAAGATTTCCATCTGACTGTTTCTCAAAGAAAACCAGGACATCCATTTTGGTAAAGAATTGCCTCCTTTTCTTAGTAGTTCTCACTTGTGTCCTCTAGTTTTGTACTTCACTTCTGATTCTGAAGAAGTCCAATAGGTCAACTTTATCAATGCCTTTGAAGATTTTGCATACATGCACCAAGTCACTTCATAATTTTCTCTGTAAATGACACTTTAAGACTAATTTCATAGAGCAGGAACATAACAGAGTTGTAATGAAAGTTTGAGAGGGACAAGAGCAACCATGGGCTTATTAAGTTCTGCTTCTGCAACCCACAACTACTTCTGACCTAATTTCTAAGATTTCTATATATACCACATGTCACCCTCTCCTCTTCCTCTTCCTTGTTTTGCATCCTTCCTCCACCCAATTGCCACCTTTGCTACTACCTTTGGTCGCCTTTTTACCAGGCATTGGGGTCCATGTCCTGGGCATGTCTGGGAGGTTGGCCCGGAACAAAGTCGGTTAAGTCAATTTTCAACACAATCAATAAGATTCTATTTTCGCACAATCTTCAGCTGCTCTCGTTTCATGTGAATTTTCTATGAGGTGGTGAGTTGACCAACATTCTACACAAGATTCTAAATGAGGACTTAATAGGGCAATGTACAATTTTAATATAACATTCCTTGATTTAACTTCTTGACTATATATCCTGACTTTTGGTTTGCTTTTTGATTGAGTAGAAGATATAAGCAACATAAACACCTAAGTTTTTCTTCATAGTAGGCACTTCTGTATCAGTGTTTCCCGTTTTTTTTGTCTGCAGGCATTTGGACTGTGTCTTTTCAGTTGTCAGCTCAAATCTCAATTTTTATTATAAATCCTATGATATGTATATCAACCTGTAAGCTCTTATCACCATTTGATCATTATTTGAAATCTCGGAAGATAAGAATAAAAAAGACCTTATTCTTCAACGCTTTGTTCTGCAGAATGCTACCTGTTCTAGTGTTATACTGTATATTGCAATTCTTGAACTTATTTAGGTTCTTTATACTTCTTTGCAAATTCATTGAATAAGAATGCAAATTAGCAATTGACAAGAACTACAGTATTAGATGCTACTGTATGTACAATTATCTACTTACTGTATAGTCTGCATGCATGTAGCATAGAAATGCATGAAAAGGATCTGTAAAAATATTTAAAGAACTTCCAGTATTTGTTTCAACATTATCATGCTTTATAGATGTCATTATTGTTTTAAAGAACTTAAGGATGAATTAGCTTGCATTACTAACCGGATTGCAACCAAGTCTGCCCAAAGTCCTATAAAGGCGATTTGTGGGCCAAAAGCTTCCAGCATATAGGTATAATGACCGCCTGACTTCCTGATAGTTGTGCCAAGCTCAGCATATGACAAGGCTCCTGTAAAAGACATCACAAACATAGTGAATATTTACATCAACCTTGAATACTTGGGAAAATTGTAAACTAAGAACTATCAATAAATATGAATATTTTGGAAAAGATTTTAATATATAAGCAGATTTCTGAAATGTCAGGCTTAACAAAACACAGGAAAACAACTTTATAGGGTCTTCTTTCAAATAAAGTATTGTTTGCCTGTGAATCATTGAAAGATCACTAAAATAATTTCCAAGCTGATTATGCTTAACAGAAGGTGTGTACTGTATATTTTTGAAGAATATTCTTTACTTCACTGAATGTCTTTTTCTTCAAATACCTGAAAGATTCAACATTTGAGTATCTACATGAAGTCCACAAATTAAATATAAAAAGAGGATTTCTTCCAGTTTCCCTCTCTGTATGGTTGCTTAGTTTTATTCAGGCATTCAACATTTGGTGTTTGAGCTTATACTGTATGAACAGCGGATGCAAATAAATACGACAGGCTATTTTCTTTATTGCCTTATTGTTGTCTTCTGGAATGACTGTAGCTACATTAAACATTTCATTTTTGTTTTAATTTTCTTCTTCAGTATCACTTCTTTAGTTTCTGATTAACATCTTCATCTGTCACTTCAGAAGTTATCCATTTTGACAGTAGGATTTATAGTCTTAACGTAACATAATGATGACTAGCTATCACCTGAAAGGGATTACAAAATAAGATCAGAAGATTTTTTGAGAAATGTTTAAGCTGGAAAGAAAGAATACGTCAAATATGAAAAGCAGGTTTAACTAAATTACTGTAAAGTTAAATAAAAATATTATTACATTGGGAGAAAATAATTGTTTGCTTATTTTTTTAAATCACTTATTCATTTGTTTCCATTAAGGAAGCTAAGTCTGAAAAGATGCAGACAGGACAGTGCATGTCTCTAATAAATAGTGTGACCTTGTGGTTATTTGGAGAGGCAAAGATAAGTCAGTTTAAACAGCAAACACCAATTCTACAGTACCTTTTAGTACAAGAGGCAAACTACAGTAAATGTAAATTCTATGTTTAATTGTGTAATGAAGTTTTTGTTTAGTGTATTAAGACATTTCTCTTTCTACTGCTGAGGAATGCTGTTTTAGAAGACATTAGTTATTTAAAGTGATCTGTTGTAGCAGTCTTTTTGTGCAGGTTATCTCCAGTACAGATTGCCCAAAAATTATTTTGCAGTTACACAATGGGGTATTGTACATTTCTTCAGTGTATTAATTTTATCTAAAATGTTAATTGTTTAATATTTTTCCCATCTAAGGTTTGGATGTCTGTTCTCTAATCTGCCTCTGCTTTAAGGGGCATTATGGAATACTTTATAAGGGCAAGCGACTCTGTACAAAGTGAGCACAGTACTGGAAACAGCATCATAGTAATATCTTTGAATTTGATGTTCGCATATATTTTTGCCTTTGAATTTCAAAACACATCAAAATAATACTTTCAAGAAAAGAAGTGAAAATGTTGTAGGCAGTGGCTGAATTACAGACTTTTTAAACTTTGGTTTAAAGAAAGCAAACCTTATAGAGTTTAGTCATCTCTTCCCTTTTTTCTTTTTCCTTTACTCTATAAAGCTGGTGATTTCTCCTGTGTCTATTGCAGTCTGTGACCATGACGTTGAACAAACAGGAAATTATCACTCTCACACAAAACTACGTAGACTTCATGGCCTCTGACTCAGAAACACTGAATGTGTCCCCTTTAGGGTGTACATCTTTTTTGTGTTATTTTAAGTTTTGTTTACTTATACAGTAGATAATTAATCAGAGTTAGGGCATGATTGTCAACATATGGCTGCCTCTACAGAATGTACTTGCAACTGAATCAGAAATTATTCAAACTTACAGTTTTTAGCATATGTTTTTTTAAAGGACTTTTAATAATTGGATTAATCTCTTTTAATAGAGGTAAGAGACAAACATAAAGTACACTTAAGGTAGTTGCTAATGATGCCTACTTTTATTATATCAATTGTTTAAGTGAAATAGAGTAAATACCTGAATATTTACAAAAAGTGGCGTAGGATGTTTAATTTCCTCGGTTTACACAGAATATTATTATTAGTAAATTCTCAGTAGTAAATTATTTTACAGTAAGGGGCAGGAATTGGAAGTGTTAAAGACAAAGTTTTGTTCTTCGCTAACTTCTCTTACTATTGCGGATGAAGGCTTAATAATGGAACTGTGATACCAATCACATCTGTACTGACAATTACTATAATTGTACAGTAGAAAACGAAGAAAATGTAAATGATCTACAACATGTCATACAGGCTACTATTCAGTTATCAACAGACTGAATAATAAAATTCAAAATACAAGTTGTTTTATTGTTATTACAATGGTCATTTTGTGTGTATTACTCTATATTGACAATTATATATTTGAAATCAAATAATATATTGTCTTGTATTTATAGTTTTAATATGTACTGTATTTTTGCATTACTGTAAAGAATAGATTGGATGAATTACAAAGTCACTTGCACAAAAAGTCAAAAGCCAAAAAACAGTTTAGGGTTACTATTCACGCTGTGCTTATGCACATCTTTTATAGCCTCTGCCTTTTAACTTTCAGGCCTGAATCTGCTATTTACTGTATAGTTTTGGCATTGTAACATAGCTCATACAAGATGTCTCTTTAATCTAGCATACAGTTTTGTCGGAAGTAAATCCTGTCAAACACCTTGACAGAAAATGGACCTTCCACACTGTATCCTATTTCTAAAACTGATATAAGCGTTAGTTTGTATCCTGAAGAAATGCTGTTTATGCAAAAAAAACCACAGCACCTCTCCATGTTCCTTGGTTTAATAAACTACCATGGGGAAATGAATTTAAAGTTTTGCACAAAAAAGTAAAATTCTGAGCCTTGTTCATGTGCTGCTCTGGTACTTGACATTGGCATTCATTTTTTCAATCATGGTTTTGTCTATCTTTTCTTTTTCCAGTTTTTTTTTCAGACTGTAATGACAATATAAGAAAGGACACAGGTAGAGTTTATTTGGGGTAAAACTGATTATACTATACCCATGTACGACTAAATAATGATAATTAATTGGTACACATTATGGTATTCTAACTTTACATTCACATGTCATGGTCATTTCATTATGTCTGTTGGTAAAATAATTGTAATAATTGTTCAGGAAAATGTGGAATACTTATATGGAAGGCTTCAAAAATAACATTTAATTTAAAAGATGAACATTGATTACAAAAATAAATGAAAAATTCATGAAAAATATGATACTAGATACTTTAATTATCAAAGTTTTGAGTTTTGCATACTCTTGTCAGAGTCAGGATGTGCTCTTTTCAGAGTCTTTCATACAGCTCCTGCAGAAACATGAAATTAGGCTGCATTCTATCCCAGGGTATATCCTTCACTAATTAAGACTTGAGTTATTCATATTTGATGTGATATTTGCTTCTCTGAAGCTATATACAGCAGTAGCATTCAATGCATTGCAATGCCATCATGGCCAATGCTTTCATATTTATTATGTAGATGTGGCATTTACTGACACACATTCCGCCAACTTGTACTGTACCAACACACTGTAATATGAACAGAAGAAGAGCTGCAAATGAGATGAAGCCATTTGGCCCATCTAGCCTGTTTTTGTCATCACTAGCTGATTGATGTAAACATCTCATCCAGCTGTTTCTTGAAAGAAGCCAGGTTATTCACTTCAACAATGTGACTGGATATTGAACTCAATATTCAAGGCACTTTCACCTAGTCTCCATTTGTGTCCTCCAGTTTGTGGTTCACTATTCATTCTGGAGAAGTCATCTAGATTGACTATATCAATCAATTTGTCTTTTTGGAATTTGTGGATTTTTTATATTTTGAATCGCCTCCCTTTGTGGTCTTCTGTGTTCAAGAATAAAAAAAGGTTCCTCTTCTTCTAGCTTTGTGGTTCCCATTTTGTATCAATGCTTTGTTTTTGATACCTTCAGGCAAAACCTTGCACCTGTCTACATTTATCATCAGTCTTGATAGTCTTTACTTTGAATGTAATGTGATGCTTCTATACTGTAGGTTTTTGCTAATCCTTCTAATAAGGTTTCATCTGTAAACTGGACTAGTTTGCTAATTAAACCAGAATATAGATTTTCTATATAAATTAGGAATACCTGTGGTCCTAGTAATTATCTCTGTAGGCTCTCCACTAATTATACCACCCCAATATGAGCATCCACTGATTATATGTACTGTTTCCTATTTATAATCATTTCTGATTCGAAGTGTAGGATTTTTCTGTATAATGATTAAAGTGCTGTGCATCAGAAACATACTGCTATTTGCAGTAATAGTATGTGGAAATCTGTATGAAAAATCAAAATGTTTACTTTGAATATACTTGTCATAAAAAAAATACAACTTTAAATGCAATCTATTGTAATTGAAGATGTTTTAGAATACAGAAGGGTCTTGTGAGCATTTATATGGAGGTCAGATAGGGACCTGTCCAAATGTGATCTCTGGGTGGCCTTTCCTTCGCTGAAATTTTCTGTGGCATCTTGCATCCCTATACAAGCATACTGTGTATTGCCATAAGGGCCTGCCACTTATAAAAAATAATGTTTTTAATAAAATAAATATAAAAGTTTTTGAAGCAATAGTGAAGATGGTGTAATGCTGATATGTTGTTTGGTTTCCAATATTGCAGATGTATTTATTCAACAGTATATGTAATACCTAATCATTGGAAATACTAGCAATTAGCAAGCACAGTGTCTGTTTGTAATGAGCAATTGTGAGACTTAAATATGGTGGATTGAGGAATGACAAGATCAGACATTTACATTAAATTAAAACAAGTAATGTTTTAGAGTTCTAAACAAAATGCCTATAATTATATGTGATTAACTAAAGTGAAGTTTAGTGTTAGGGTTAGCTTCATATTGGCAGAATCAAAATAATATGCATACAGTCCATAATGGGATAATTTATTAATAAAGCTATTG